AAGATAAGACATTAACCGTTAGTATGCATATACGAACACGTACATACATATGCATCGTACAAGTAGGTAAATAATGACACAACTTTTAATCAACAAATATACATATATTTAGCTTGAGTTTTCATGGCATTAAACTGTATTGGAGCGTTTCAACTGCCTCAAACCAATATATATGCCATAGATATGCATGCGTATGTGTGTGCAAAATGATATCGAATTACAAAAACAATTCTACTTGTGGGTATTTAGTAACAATAAGGTGACTGAGTGTAAGTCAGTCGAGCAATCTTATCAGTTCGCCAGTTGTCGGGAAGAGCTCGAGTGAAAGAGTGATACAATTACTAATAGTTAGAAAAAAATGTAATTGATTTTTTGTTTAATAAATTAATTTAGAAAAGTGCTAAAGCAGTGTTTGAAAAGTGATACATGAAAAAACTATGAGAAATTGTCTGCAACCCAAAACGTTACAATGGCCGCCGCATCGCTGATTACAGCGGATACAAATCCGCCACAAATAGAAGTATATGAAAAGTGCAAAAATCACAAAAAACGCCAACGAATATTAATAAATTATAAAAAACAACACGATTGGCTATGGCGGAACTGTCGCGGTCATCGGCAACAATTCGACACAGCAACATATTGGCTGTTGGTGACGACATTGCTCACATTGTCTGCGTCCTACGGTCGTGCCGATTACTACCGTAATGGCGTTGGTTGGCAACCACCACAGCCAATACTACCACCGCTTCAACCCATCCCACCGCCTTTGGGCAGCTTACAGAATGTCACTTGTATAGCGCATGACACTAAATTCACTTGTGATTGTCTGTCTGTGAATCAGGTAAGTGCAAACACACACAGGTATATGTAAAATCTAACGGCATTACGCACAAACGCAGAAATTTAAACTTTTTTTGTTCCGAAAAGGGTGGTCCGAAAGTATATTTTCATGGCTTAGAGTTCTTATTTGATATTGAAGCAACTTTTTATGTTAAGAGCTTTACGCTGATAACGTAGAAAACCACAAAAAACGTATACTGCGCCAAAAAGGGTATAAAAAGATCTTTATCTTGATTTGGATCGGTCAGTTTGTATGACAGTTATGACTTATAGCGATCCGTTATAGGTGGTTTCGAGCATTGAACTGTTTCTTAGGAAGAAAAGGACGTGTGCGAAATTTCAGAGCCAGTAATATCGACATGGCTAACTATCAACTCAGTTCATCACGCTGATCATTTTTAAGTACATACATAAACCCATAATCAACTAAAATCGTTTATTGAAATAAAACTATTTTTGGACCACCCGTTACCATATAACTATCGGGTGATTTTTTAAGAGCTTGATAACTTTTTTAAAAAAAAAAACGCATAAAATTTGCAAAATCTCATCGGTTCTTTATTTGAAACGTTAGATTGGTTCNATACTGAGCATCTTTCTCTTTGACACCATGTCTGATATCCCACGTGATCTGTCAAATACTAATGCATGAAAATCCTAACCTCAAAAAAATCACCCGATAAGTGCTCATGCAGTGATGACTCATATATGCCGTTAGATTTTTAGTTTCCTTTAATTATTCATTTCTCTTATACTCTCGCTCTATGTATATTCCTCCCTTACTCAGCGCCTACAACTACCTCACCTGATCGGCTACGTGTTTCAAGTAGAAATAAGTAATTGCAGATCCTTAACCATCGAGGCCAATGCACTCGAAGATACGCAAGGTTTGCGCAAAATAAATTTCAAGAATGTGGAAAATTTGATATTGAAGAAGTATGCATTGGCGTTTCCGCGCTACGCAAGCAATACGCCGCTAATTATCGAATTCGATCGGGTAAGTTGACGGGGGGTTACCACCTCTCGTAAACAAAGTAATAACGGTATGCTTATACACATAAATATGTATATGAATTTTCAGGTGAATTTCGAGTTGATCGACTCGCATGCGATCAACGGTAATATTGAAGAGATCTCATTTATCGGTGGACGCATCGATGTGATAAATCCATTCGGTTTTACGACGCTCAAGGATCGCGCTATTTTATTGAAAATGGATAATGTCCTCGTTAAGCGAATAGAACCACAGGTAAGAAGACACCCCAACTCATATAAATTCAATATCCCAAATCTTCGGTGGTTATTACACCCGGATATAGTACATCAGGGATTGTAGTTAAAGTAAATTTTCAAAAAATAGTGTAAAAGAACTTGGAACTTATTAAATATTTATTCTGAAGTTAAGTGTGTTTCTATAATGTAAACATAGAGAAATATAGGCTTGGTTAGATTGCTGATAAAAGATCGCACGTGGACTACGGCCATAGAAAGAAGAACTCCTGTGATCGAACTTACAAACTCACAGCCTTATGGATGGGCGCCAATAGGGCAGTAACCCGTTAAAAGCCCTAAAACTAGGGAGAGTCCTAGCCTTACTGAGGGTAAAGAAATCACTAGATCTCTTGCGATCTTTCTTGGGCCAAAAAGCTTTTGCGGTAGCCCATTTACCAGCGCTGGCTATGCTTCCGCGAAACCCAGTTATCTAATAGTAGAACACAAGAGGGTACGGGAGCACCAACTATTCTACCGATAGCGGTTCTAGGGTACCTTTCCTTGCCAGATCAGCAGCTTTACAGTTTCCTACGATTTCGCTGTGGCCTGGCTTCCATACCAGGCCTCTTTGCCTCTTTGACCAGCCCTGAACGCACTGTTAATGAGTTCAAGGCTAGTATCGCCGCTTTGCTATCTGAATGGATAGCCGCTTCTCTGAAAAAGGCTGCACTCCGCAGCAGTAAATCTACTGCTACCTTAATGGCTGCAACCTCGGCCTGGAAGACACTGCAATAGTCAGAAAGTTTGAATCTGGAGTTTACAAAGGGATAATGATTATAAAATTTAGGAATGTTTTCTACAGCTTCTCAAAAGAAACTTTATTTAATTGTACCAATTTGGTAAACAGATTTTGGGTAGAAAATTTATCTGATCACCTAATAGTTCCTTACTCTTTCTTACTTTCGACATATGCTCCTCAATGGCTTTTAAATTCGATTTGATTGCTCCATTTTCGTTCCGTTTTACCAGGACTATACCCATTTTCATTCTATTCCTCCTTTTTTTATAATAAGCTTCTGTTCTAGAAATATGTTGACCACTTCAAGCAATTTCTTTTTATTACAGGCCTTCAAGAAGTTTGCCGTCGAACAACTGGAAATTCGTAACTGTATATTTCAAACAAATGTGCCATCGAAAGCATTTTATGAACTTGAGGTGCTCAACTCTCTGCGTATACAAAACAACAACTTTCAAGAAGTGCATTCGCATGCATTTTCGTTTAAAAGTAAGCAAACATTTTTGAAAATAAATACACATATGTATGAATCATATAATTCTCAGTTATTGTGGAATGAGTTAGGTTAGGTTCAATATGAACTAAAATTCGAATAAAATATGAATACACATTTCCAGTGAAATGTGCGTGGTTTAACTCAAAAAAGTACTCAATGTAAATTAAAAGCAATTGGAATTTATTATAAAAGCTATATAAACAATAAATATCTGAGCTTTTATCAAGGACACAAACCTTTGACAATATAATGAAATGATTAGCTGTTTTGGCGTGTAAAATTTTTATTATTTTTCCAATAATTCATTTCATTTTTTGAGATATTCGTCACGTAAATAAATCAACACAGCACAGCATTCGCACTCTGAAAGCAAACATTGCAATATTTTAGCCAAGTCGCACACCATGCAAATGTATCTTCAAAAGCATAACATTCGATTCTCTTTATTTGCAGTTATCAACAAACTCAGCATCACAGAGAACTATTTCGCGGCTATCGATGCCGAGTGGATTGAGGCCTACGTGCGTGAGAGCGTTGTAATACGCGATAATTATTTTGGTCTCACTAGTCCGATAGCCTTTAAAGGTAAGCAGGTTTTTATACGCCCATTGAATAAGATTACAATAATATAACTTTTACACACCTGCCAGGCATACATATACACCGCGATTACATGCACAGCGAACTGCTCGAACTGCAATTCAACAACAACACACTACAACTGCCAGTGGAAACGCGTCCGCTGGAATTCAACGAACGCTTTGCGCTCAACATCAAACAGCTACGCTATGAGAACACCTTTGGCTGCAGCGACTTGGACACAGCACAGAAACCACCGATACCCAAGCAGGCATTCTTTCGCAACAATGTGGACAACATCTACGTGCTGTCAAAGCCAATCAAAGCGGTGGCAACACCCATGAACGGGATGAACGGGCAAATGATCGCAGCTAGTCGTAGCAACAACGAATTTGTCTTGTTGAACAAATACATCGAAACAAATTGTCAGCCACGTTCCTATTTGACATACATACTTTTAGGCGTACTAGCGCTGGTACTCGTACTACTACTGATCGGCATTGTTGTGTGGCTGCAAGTGGCCAAGCGGCGAAAGAAACGCAAACTAGACGTTGTATTGCCCGAACCGCGCACATATAAGGAAACGCAAATAATCTATCAGATCGAAAATGCGGGACTCCTAAAGACTGATCTGTGAGCGTGCTAGCCAAATGTGGAGGCTGACTAAGCAGTGGGGTGTTATTGAGAGAAGCTATGCAAATTCTTTGCCACGCCAAATAAATTCTAATATATATATACTTAGAATATATAATATAGAGGACAGTCGTATATAAATATGTATACGAATAGGGGGAGTAAAAGCAGGGGGTGTAAACTGCTATGCATTATAAGCTATCCAAATATGCTGTTTTACCAAATTTTACGTTTAAGTTTTATAACTATAAATTATTGAAGTTATTGTACATATACATAATGTGAATAAATAAGAGTATTTAAATAAGTAAGATCTTTAATGCATCTTTAAATTTAAGGTTAAAACGGAAATTAACTATTTACTCATTTGTCAATAAATTTTGTAGATTCTGGCAGGCAATCAGTTTTCTTTAATGATTTTTAAAATTTCTTTCCACTTACCCAATTGGCAGATAGGACTCTAGTGCTTGTTGTACCGTTAATACAGGTTCAGAAAGCGCGAATCCCTTTGAGAGGAGCGCATGATGGGCATTAATTGTGTCTTCAACGCCGCCAAGATCATCCATATCTTTATCATCTGAAAAAAATTTAGCAAAAATTAAATGCCTATATTTGTGACGTAAATTCAAATAAAATAAAATAAGGATACTAGCTAATGAATTCGTGATAGGAAATAAATGTATGCAACCAAAAAGAAATAAATCACTCAAGTTTTTCTATAATAAATATTTTGAAAAAAGCAGAGTCCCAGGTTTTTCGATTCTTATGGCGGCGCAAAAAAGTTTTAGAGTACTTGAGTGGCACGAAGCATTCAGTGAAGGTCTTGGAGTCATCAAAAATGGCATCTCAGTATCTCTTATGGTTCGACTCAACACGTTTTTGGTTAATGTTTTGAATATGAAGCACATCAATGCTAGAATCGCACATAAAGTCCGAAATCTCTCGTAAAAACGATGTCAAGTATAGGTCGCAAAAGAGATACTTGACTCATTATTGGTGACGAGACGTGGGTTTGTAAATAAGGGGTCAAAATGTTCAACAGCCCCCAGTAGACCAGTTTTGGTTCATGATACCATTTGGCGTTCAATTATTATTTCCGTGAGGAGTGGTCATCCTTTAGGATGTCTACGATTGACGCGAATTTTAACAGACTCTGTGACTTCACTTCTCCAGTGTATCATATCGTGGGGATCCAGATGGTTACAGCGTAGTCTTGCCAATGCGGGACAAGTGCACAGGAGATGGTCCATTGTTTCCCTGGTGCCTGCTCTTGACACTTCCTGCAGGCTTCTCGATCTATCAGCCTCATTCTGCGAGCGTGCGTTACCACCAGACAGTGACTACTTAGTATTCCGATCATGTTCCCACAGTCTCTTCTATCGAGTGCCAATAGAAATTTGGGGTACATCGATTTATTGTTTTGCACATTACTTTTGTAGTTTTGCAGGTAGTTCGTTCCATTCGGTTTTCATTTTCTTTACCATGCTTCTTTCAGATCTTCGCATAGACAAAGTATCGGTTTCTCAATGTACACCGGGTTCTCAATGTTCTCCGCAATCTCGTCCAGTATTTCATTACCTTCAACGCTTTTATGAGCTAGAAGTGAAGTTGCTTGTTTCTGGAAACACCTTCCACTGCTGTCCTGCTTCTCAAGACACTTCTGGTCGATATGTGATACGAGATTAGTGCCTAGTTGTTGCTTAGCGGCTGGATCCGTGGCTTTCGAAATAGCAAAGACTTCGGCTTGAAATATTCTGCAGGGTGTCCCGCAACTTAAAAGTTTGCCTTATGGATAACTCTAGACAGTATTTATTCTCGCACCACTCCATCGTACGAGCAATCCGAATACATTTTTAGAGTGTTGCACGCATACCCATATGATTTCTTTGGACTTTCTTTCCCAGTTGAAAAAGCGGAACATGTAGTCAGTGTTAGCCAAATCGCCATTGCCCATGGAGCTATGCCCGAAGATTCTATATGTGAATTCTTCTGCAGCCAGTCGTCGTCCCGCCAATATCTATAGGTGGAAGGTTTATTACCAGTTCAAGAGCCGTATTTGGAGTTTTCTTAAAGCACCCGTTCTGCGCAGTGCAGCGAGTCTTTGAACCCTTTCCATTGGCTTCCTGTAGGCGAATTTCTGTACGCCTGTCTACCATACTACTGTATTGTAAAGCAGTTGGTCTTACGATAGCTATGTAGCGCTAGTGCATGAGAGATGGAGAAGGCATATAAAGCATTGCTAGCCTTTCCCGCTCTTTCCTCCGTCATGTCACATTTATCGAAGGGATCCTCTGTAGAGGAATTTTGTGGTTTTTTGTGAACACAAGTAGATGCGTTTTCTCCGGCTTCAACCCCAGATCCGCTTGCGCCAATAAACAACTAACTAAATTTCTGCCTTAAAAATACATTTTAATAATTATGTTTATAAGTTACCTGTCAAATTGAGATCCTTCTTCATGAGATTTGCACTGCACATTCCACCTAAATAAGCCAATTCCTGCTCGAGACGTATCAAGCACGAATTTGTTGCACTCAGCTATAATGAAATTGGAATTGAACAAGCTGCTAAATTACCGTTTTCAACTGAGGTTTTAAAAACTTACAGTTGAAGGGTTATCATAGCCGACGACGAGGCATTTAAAGCCATAACGATTAATATGTGGATCTTGTGCGTACAGCGAAGATGTCTCCAAAGAAAACTCGACACAATTACCAGGCAAAATCATAACATTTTGCATCCAATTCGAGGAACTGTAATTAAACAATAATTTATTAAAGAAATCGTGTGTGTTACTATCGAAACTCACGTGTTGAATTTCTTCACTACAATCCAATCACGATCCACACTCGCACCACTCTCACGTTCATCCTTCCCAACGGCGCTCTTATAGCAACTGCTAATTAACGCATTGCCTGTGCAACCCTGCGCGCGTCGTACGTTATTATCCAGCATATCGAAGTAGTCCTCATTCGTGGGACAAGGCTCCGTAACTGTCGGACGCATTGGTATCGAGAGCAACAGATAATCCTCCAACTGCGCAGTACCACATTGTGGATCGAATTCAATGGTTAACCACTGCACGCATGGGGGGAATTCGACACGCTGACAACTAATGGTGGCGCTACGATATGGATGCTCGCTCTCCACGACACAATAATGATTGCTTGTAGTTATGGCTTCGCTGCCATTGCGGTCGCCCAACATTTGCGCCTCGCTTTCACTCTTTTTACGTGAACGAAATTCCCGATTGTCGACGGCCATGGCGTTGCGTAAGCTCTGCGCCGCAGCGGCGGGACTTATGGTCAACGCGCCAGCGTTAGCGCTTTGATCCTTTGTAGCATAGAGTTGATTGAGTGCGGCGATGTGCGGTAAAATCTCCTTAATCATGCCGAGTATTTGCACAGAGCTCTATTGTACAAAATAAATTCAATATAACCTCAAAATGCTATGGAACCAGAAAATTACGACATAAAGAATTTGACGATACTAACCTTTGGATCGCTACAAGCGAGATTGGCAACATGCGCATAAACCAGCGGCAGCAAGGTGTGGAACATATTCGAGGATGCCATATTGAAGACTTCCATAATCTGCACGACCGTCAACTGAGGCGCAGCCACATCTTCCGACTCCGAACGCAAAATGCCACCACCGCCAATCTGATTATTCTGCTGATGATGATGGTGGTGATGCTGCACATTAACAAACTCTTCGGCTACTTCATCCTCATCGTCCACACGCTCGTTGCCATTCAATTTGGCTATTTGGCCATTGCGGAAATTCAAATCCTGTACGCCGGTGCTCTCCTCTATCATCAAATCTTTGGGATGTATTTCGGTAGCGCCGATTTCGATTTCCATTTCGAATGGATTCGTGGAGCGTTTATCAAATTTCAATGTCTCAATAATGCCCTTCGAAAAAGATTCAATGCGCTTCGTTATGTCACGCGCCGTCGAGATATTCGCATCCACGGGTAACACGGATGTGCGCGAATTATTCGCCCAGTTGATGTCCATGTGCTCCTCAATCGGCGTAATATTATGTTCCGAGTCAATGGTTTGTGTATGGTTTGAGGAGTTGTCTGACGGTGAGAGTGAGGCGGCCAAAGCATTGCGCGCCAATATCAACAATTCGGTGCATTTCTTTGTGATATCGCTCGCAATTTGTAAAGCCGTATCGCGTGTTGTGACCTCATTGGCGGCTGGTGCACTACCGCTGCTGCCACCACCACCACCACTACCCCCTACCGACGTATCGCTCTTAAGTGGTGTGCTGTAGTAGAGTAAGCAAGGAATTTGGCCGCGTTGTGGTGTCGTGCCGTTGAAACTCAAATCGCAGGAATAAAAGTGAAATGTTGTGCCGCATGGACCGCGTATTGAAGGCATACCGGCATCACCAGAACAAGTGCGCGCACCTTGAGAACATATGCGCAGCGCATAGCGCGCGTTCTCCTGAAAACAAATACGAAGGCGTGATTAATATTTTTTTGTAATAAATAAAACAGTTAAGTACCTTAATATGCACTGGTCGCTCGAATTTGATTTCTGTCATGTCATTATGCACCACATCCTGATCGTACGATCCCGAAACCGATTCAAGCGTTTCCCACTTGTGTTGTGACTGCAAGTCGACTGTGTTGTCGTACAGCAGCTCCAGTTGGTAATCATAGGAGCCCGAGCCGGAGAAAACCATAGCGCCTGCAATGGCAATGCCTGGTCGGTCGACTGTAAAGCCAATAGCATCGGGTCCAAAATTTCCTGTATTCCAGGTGCGGCTCTGATCACAGCGCGCAAAACGTGAGCCGGTCGAGTGCAGGCTGCGTGGCGGCATGAACATCTTGTCGTACTTAAAAAATAATAATTTTTTAAAACATAAGAATTAACTCTTAACTCTTCAGCATCAATATACTCACATCGCTCAAGGCGGTCTGGTACACAATTTCGGCCAGTACACGCGCCAAAAGGTGACAGCAGTTATCAATTAAGCCTTGGTTGGTGTCCTTGCCCCCATATGCGCCTGCATAATTGAATTGCACACTACGATTGTATATATTCTCGATGCGCGCGCGTATCGGATTCGATATAATGTCCAGCAGTCGGACGAGCACATCTTTGAATGTCCATGAATTGCTGAGAAAATCGGCTTTCTCTTGTTGCGTGCGATAGATCATTTGTTCAACGAGTATGGGATACTGATGCGCCTCAGTGGACGACAGCATTGGCAGACCAGAATTGTCGCTGGGGCTAATAATCGATTGGCGCTCATTGCCCGGATTCAGTAGTGAGAATGTGGTGCGCAGCTTTACGGACGGTGAGCAAAGACCCGCAAGTATCGCACTGAGTAAGCGAGAGTGCAAGGTGCCTTGCTGCTGGTGTGGGAAATGTAAACAAAAAACAAGTAAGGAAGGGCTAAGTTCGGGTGTCACCGAACATTTTATACTCTCGCATGATAAAGTGATAATCGAGATTTCAGGCGTAGTTGTGAAGCGATTTCACCCATATTTGGTACATGTCATCAGGGTGTTAAGAAAATATTATATACCGAATTTCATGTAAATCGGTTGAGTACTTCCTGAGATATGGTTTTTGGTCCACCTATGGACCAATCGACGCCACGCCCATTTTCAATTTTTAAAGAAAGCCTGRGTGCAGCTTCTTTCTGACATTTCTTCCGTAAAATTTAGTGTTTCTGACGTTTTTTGTTAGTCGGTTAACGCACTTTTAGTGATTTTCAACATAACCTTTGTATGGGAGGT